GTTACTGACCCTCATAAATATGAACAAGGCTAATGAAAATTGAAAGAACATTGAGGAATAGTTTTATTTTCTAACCTTATATACTTTTGGTGATTTTCAGTGTAACAGTAATAGGTAAACATGATCATACAAAAATATGGGAGTTTTTGTGTTCTTCAAATATCCCTTTAAGTATTTAAGTATTTTCAGTAGAATAACACCGACAGACTTTTCTGGTATGAATATTCTATTCCAATGCATAAAATTATTGTATGATGAAAAGTTGTGGTCTAATTTTAGGTGAGATCTGTGAATATTTCGAAATGGCTTGTTGAGGACCATTTTGATGTTAGTGTAAAGATGAGTACTTATCTTGTGGCCTTTATAGTTTCGGATTTTAAATCAGTCAGTAAGATGACCCGTCATGGAATTAAGGTACAGTAACTGTCTTATTTTGTACTGAATTGTTTTGTAGTAAGAACTGTAAAAAATGCAAATATTTTAAAGGTCTCAGTTAATCTCATTTATGTGTCTGTAGTTCCTATGGGAAGGAAAGGGGAGAAAAGATTTTTTAAAAATAGATGGACTGTCTTAATTATTAATTTTAGCAGGGTTTTTTTTTTAAATGTGTAAACAAGATGAATTTTTTTTATATACTTACATGTACTGATAAAGTGAAACTTAATTGTAGTATAAATTAAATCCAGGCATATTTGGGTGAAATTTCACCCAGACGCTATAGCAATTCAAACTGGTTTCCTTCAAGAATGTAGCGAACAGAAACTGTACAAGTTTTTCCACTGGACATAAAGATTTAGTAGTAAAGAATATTGTTAGTGCATTACAGGACCTTTTTCACCATTGAGCTCACTTATTCTGATATGGTATTGGTTATTAGTGGTTAAAGGTTTTGTTTGACTGTCTGCTATGTGCCATGAATTTTGGTGGTGTCTTCTATATCTAGTTTCTGACTAACTTTGCTTAGGAATCACTAAAAGAGAATAAACTCCCTTCTTATCTGTTTATATCCCTTCATCTCTGGACTCCTTGAAATATAGATGAGTGTTGGGGTAGGGTGTGAAATCTTGTATTGCATTTGTGCTTGTGAATAAAAAGACAACTTCATCTAAATTCAGTTTAAAAAACAAATGCCCAACTTTGATCTCTTCCCCTCACAAATTTTAGGAACACTCTGGGGCAGGGGATATTAAATTGGGTATTGTTCTGGTGTTTTTGTGATCAATGAAATAAAGAAGACTGAAAACTAATTAATTTCTAATTTATAATCATCTTGCATTATTATTTTGAAATACTCCATACTTGTGTATGTTAGATTTCCATCTACGCTGTGCCTGACAAAATCAACCAAGCTGATTATGCCTTGGATGCAGCAGTGAAACTTTTAGACTTCTATGAAGATTACTTTAGCATTCCATACCCCTTACCCAAACAAGGTAAGTATTTTAATAATTTTTATATTTAAGTATTGTATTGTAAGGCAGAGCAAAGATTACAGAAGATAGAGATCATCAAAGGAACACCTTATACTAGCGTCTAGGATTGGTTTCTTGTCCCTGTAAATCAAGTGCTTTCACATACAAATGGCAAGCTAGGTGCCAAACTAAACTTTTAATTGTGCTATTGCCAAAGGAGTTTTGAATGTGTATTTTTTTGTGCCCTTGAATTTGGCCTTCATTTTTGGGAAATAAACTTGTGGCTGTGTTTTCATAGTACTGCAAAGCTTGTGAAAATATTAACCATCTATAATGTAATGAATCTGTAAATGGTAAATTGCTGATAAAATCTTCAGTGAGAGAAAAATGTGTGAACACTACTGCTCGAAGAGTCTTCTGACATTTGGTTACGTAGGCACAAAATGCCAGAGTTTACTGAAATCTAGTCTCTAACCAGGGCCATGACAGAGCCTCAGAGAAGCCTTCTGTCCCTGCATCTGCTATTCTGGTCATCTATTTGTAGATATATCTGTTCTGTCTGGCATTTACTCAATGTGTTGAGTTGCTGGATCCACATGACCATGTGGCCTCTTCTTGAATTACCTGTCTCTAAATTGGCCTCTGAAGGATCTGCTAAGATCCTGTCTCTGACATAGCGTGCATCTATACGTTCAATTAATGTGGTGTGATCAACTCTGGTACACTTCACGCCAGAAGTAACTGCTCCTAGGCACAGTGTTTACATGTCTGCCCGGGACAGCAGCAGTTTGAGCTGGGGCAGAGCAGCCCTGGGCTAGCAGCAGGCTCAGAGGGTCAGCTGCGGGCTCCCGGTCATGGTGTTGTACAGTGGAGGGTCTGGCAGGAGCACAAGAGTGCTAAAGTGCAGAGCCATGTGGCAGACAACCCCCACTTTAGCACCCTCATACACCAGCCAGCCCCCATCACCATCTACATGTGTGTTTTGTCACACTTAATTACTCTTCTGTAAGAGTCCTGTCAGGGACAGTATTCTCTTATGATGGAGTTAATTCATTTTAGGGGTGCACTGATAGCTGATTATTAACCAACCATATCAGTCAATGCAAATCTGATGACTGGTTTACTTCAAAATGCAAGGTATTTTAAAGTACTGACATAAATAAAACTTTTTTTTTGGGGGGGGGGTGTATTCCAGCAGCCTCCTACATTACATGTATCAGCATCCTGGCACTTAAAAATGGCGGTGGGGTGCTTTAACTAAAGCTCATTGAATGAGCTGCCACCACCATTTTTAAGCGTGGGGACACTTAAGTGGAGTAGAGTTGGGCAGGTCAAGGGCAGATACAGGCTGCCCACTATGGGCACAACTCACCACCTCCACTGCTGCCAGGTGGGCAGGGGGTGAGCAGCCAGCACAGAGTTTCCAATGGAAAGGCAGAAGACTATAGAGCCCCGAGCCCACAGTGAGCAGCCTACATACACCCTATGCACAAATGTGGGGGGAACTTGCCCCCCATGCGTCCCCTGGCGGCGTATGCAATAGTGGGGAGCTACCCCTCTCCCACCTGATGCCCCCCTGGACAATTCATCCGTGGCTCCATCCCACTCCCTGCCCTGGTCCTGGGTCCCATGTACCACCCTGGCTGGGGCAGCACCCCTCACCGTGGGGGCCTTGATCTACCCCCTCCCCCCCACCCCTTCCCCTCCATAGACTTACCTGCAGGGAGCTGTTCTCCATGCTGCCAGGCTGTATTCTGGGCCACTTGCATGCATGTGGCCGCACACGTGCATGCGGTGCTCCCTATGTCTCACTTCTGGCAGCCCCAAGCAGGACCCCTTGCAGGCTAGAATGCTGCCCACCTGCAAGCGGAAACCCACTTTTCTGAAGGAACCCAGGTATCCAGGGCCTCTGGCTGGAGGGAACCCAGGTGTCCTGGGCCCTGGCTGGAAAGCATAATTATTGGTAAACATCATCTACAGTGGTCACAAAAAAGCCGATAGAGATAGCCAGTAATGTCATTTCCCCTTTTATTGGTGCTGATCTGATAGGCAACCAATATATCGATGCACTTCTAATTAATTTACTGTGCCCTAATGCTGGCACACATGTAGACAATACTTTATTGCAGGGCTTAGTCACCCCCGCAGTAAAGCACATGTATAGATGCACCCACCTTTGCTACCATTCTGTTCAAGGAATTTCTGTGCATCTTTATCAGGGAGTTTTCATGGTGTGTGTGTTGGGGCTTGTACAGTTTTTGCACAATCTCTTCACAACTGTGTGAATTTCATTTTCAAACAGTGAAACATGGCCACCATGCTTAAATATTGTCACTGTTTGGGTTTATCATATTGGATTGAAGGCCAAGCACTATATTCATCTCAGAAACAGCAATATCTCCACACAACGTGCGTCCCAGAGTACATTTAAAATTTGTTTTTAAAAAGAAATGTAGAATTAAAGAAAGGCTGAGAAGATATCTATTATCAAACATGTACAGAAAAGTAATTCAAAACACTATGGGCATGTATATAGGGCAAATTAAGATGTACTGTAAAGAGCTACTGTTATAGCATACTGAGGATGTCTACTTTTATCCTATACTTCTGTTGCTTCCAGTGGATTTTGTGACATGCACCTTGTGTTGAGCCAATTAGTCTTTGGCTCTTTCAAGTTAAAAGTATACCTTTTGTCTGCTACATTATGTAACTTAGATAAAGAGTTCCACTTGTTAACTACAGAAAGCTGTCTATTTATTTTGATATAATTATAGTTTTTGATACTGTAGTATATAGAACTTTAAAAAGTCTGGTATGTATGTGAGGGAGGGAGGGAGGGAGAACGAACAAAAGTAAGCAGATGAGAGATATTAAGAAGATAATTATTAATAATAAATATAATATATATATTTTTTAGACCTAGCTGCTATTCCTGATTTTCAGTCTGGTGCTATGGAAAATTGGGGATTGACTACATACAGGGAATCTGCTTTGTTATATGACTCTGAAAAATCTTCAGCATCAAGTAAACTCTGGATTACAATGATCATAGCCCATGAGCTAGCTCACCAGGTACAAATATGGGTAACAAAATGGGATGTTTTGGTTTTATTGGCAATACACTGAAAAAACAGAACATCCTAGTACATTGAGAACAAGTTGTTAAACTTCTGTTTTGCCCAGCTCTACTTTGCCTTCCAGCTGAGAATGACAGTGAACAAGGAATGAGGAATTTTTAAATCCTAGCCTGTTAATGTGTGAATAATGAAAGATTAACCAGAAACCTTACTGGGAGATAATTCAGGTATCAGTTGAATATACAGGTCAGCAAAGGACTTACTCTGCTCTGGCAAAATAGAACTGGTATATAGATGTGGTGCCACCCTCATGCAAAGGATTTTTCACACTGCTCTATGACATCTCAAAAACCTTTTTGAACAGCAGCAGCAACAAAAACCTGTACCATCTTGGAAGGGATATATTAGTTTCTGAGAATCTCTTTTTTTTTCTTATTATTACTGATTATTGTGGCTTAATGTCTTCCTGTCTTTTCAACATGATTGATAATTCTTTTGGGGAGGATTGGCCAGGAATGCACTACCATCCTCCACTTATCTATTATTTTGTTGTCATGACATCGTGGACATGGGCACAGAAAACCTTACCAGGCATCTGTCAAATTACTTACCTGGTATGCATGGTAGTCAGGCTGGATGGACCCCTGGGAGAAGGGAGTAAGGCTGCCTCATTATGGTCCTGCCTGAAGTGACTCTAGCTGAGGAGCCTGGGCAGGCTGAATAGACCCAGAGGGCTCTATATCATAAATACTTTTTAGCTATATAAATAGAAAAGAATAAAATATGAAAAAGCCAGACAGCTGGACATCATTCCTATGACTATAAAGTTGTATATTAAAGGTGTATAGAGAACTAATACATTGAAGCACAAGTTGGTACTACCTGTTATAATACCCCAAATACTTTTAATCTAAAAAAAATGATTTTTTTTCCCCAGTGGTTTGGAAACCTAGTTACTATGGAATGGTGGGATGATCTTTGGCTAAATGAAGGGTTTGCAAAGTTTATGGAATATGTGTCAGTCAGTGTTACCCATCCAGAACTGAAAGTTGTAAGTATTCATTATTTTTCTTTTATTTATTTTATATGATATTTTTAAAATGTTGAGGGTAACTTATTTGCAGTGGCAAGCAGCAAACAGATTTTTCCTGAGCCGTTTAAAAAATGAATATTTTTGAAGGTTTGAATAGAAAGGGTTATTTTATACAAGTTCATGTTCTCAAAACCAGTTATGGATAATATTGAAAGCAATGATGTTGTATAGCTTTAAATGACTTTGACCTTTCTAAATGCCTGATCAGAGTTGATTACACCTTATCTTATAAAGACTTACTGGCCTGATCTAAAATCTATTGAAATCAATGGCAATCTTTTCAGTGTCTTTACTGGTCTTGAGCTCAGGCCCCATGTACAAAATGAATAGTTTCACTGTAGTCATTTGAACTGTGTATTAGAGTCTGTATGACAGTTGGACACTGCAGTAGCTTTGTAATAGATTGCAGTTTCTAAAGTAGCTGAACAGTGTTTTAAAATAAAGCAGTTTGGTTACAGTTGTTCACTCAGCCTTCAAACCCTTAAAACACATGAGTATCTTTTTGGAGTTAATAGAGCAGATTTTAATCAATACAAGACCTGATAGTATGCGACATCAAAGCATCCTAAATAAATTGGTCCTCTCTAGTTATATGATTCTTCATTTATTGCAAATTTGGAGTTAGGGTGAGTACATTTATATTCTTTGAAAGCCACCAAAAAGAAATATAAAATGTAAATCTGTCTTGCATACAATTTCTTGAACATTCCAACATAATCCTTTACTAATAAAAGTATTTATCTCCTATTAGGAAGATTATTTTTTAGGCAAGTGTTTTGATGCCATGGAGGTGGATGCATTGAATTCTTCACATCCTATATCTACTCCTGTGGAAGATCCAGCTCAAATTCTAGAAATGTTTGATGATGTTTCCTATGAGAAGGTAAAATCCATGCCTATTTTTTGTTTTATTTTTACAGTTGTGAATTTGTTTCTCATGATTCTTGCTCAAAGATAGAATCTTTGGCACCGTTGCAGTCACTGGCAAAATGCTCATTGAATTCAGTGGGACCAGTATGACTTGAACTATTTTGGCTACTTGACTTGTGAAACTCTTACAGGCAATGATAAGGACGTAATATTTTAATATATAGGGTTAAGATAGGGGATGCTTTAATCAGACAGTACCATAAATATAGAAAATGAATTGCTGATGATATTAATAATAAAGGTTTTCTAAATGTTAAAACATCAGATTTTATATTTTATAATCTAAACACTAGTTTTGTAAAGATTTTTTCACTTTTTGCAGGGAGCTTGCATTCTGAACATGCTGTGGAATTACCTGACTGCAGATGTGTTTAAAGCTGGTATTGTACAATATCTCCGGAATTACAGCTATCGGAATACAAAAAATGAAGATTTGTGGAATAGTCTGACAAATGCAAGTATTTCTTGTATTATTCTGTATTTAAATTCCCCATTATAATTAACCACCATCTAACTTAATATATTACTGAGGAGAATTGTTATGAGTGGTTATCTGTAATTGTGAAATGAAGGAAAAATTATAAAATGCTTTTCAGATTTGTCCTGTAGATGGCACCCATGAAAGCCAACTTCAAAGTGACGGCTTTTGCACCAGAAACCAGCAGACATCTTCAAGTTCAGTAAGCACATATTTTCTATCTATTGCTAAGTATAAGCATGATACAATGCTAACATTTAATTCTTTTGTTTAATTATTTTTAAAATTGGTATACTGAGCACTTCAGGCCTATAACTGAGAATGTCAGGTTATACAAAAAACAAAGCATCAACAACAGCCTGTCTCCTAGTGACCCAATACTATTTGGTGCACAGATATTGCTCTTACTGGTACTAATCATAACCATCAAAATGTCAGCCTGTCTGCCATAAAATGAAGATACCATAATACCCCATTCCAAGTCCAGACCTCACAGGCTCTATAAACTTGTTTTTTCCCATCATCATGGTCGATAGCCATTGTAAAGTTACATTCCTTTATCTCAGTTTCTTTGTGACTTCGTTTTATCCTCCCTTTCATCTTCTTACGTGTTTTGTTTCTGTGCGATAAAAACAGCACTGGACAAGAAGAGAGACCCTTGAGGTTGGGACAATGATGAACACTTGGACATTACAAAAGGGCTTTCCATTAATAACTGTCATGGCAAAAGGAAAGAATGTCTATCTGCGGCAAGAACATTATATGAAGGGATCTCATTCTTCTCCACCAACAGGGTAATGAAAAACAACCGGGCACACTCTGCACACCAGAAAAATCAACTAACAATAGACTGTGTCATAAGAACACATTTTCTTGTTGTTCCTAAAGGAACAAAAGTTCGGTTCTGATTTTTTCATATTTGAAAACTACGTAAGTGTTCTCATTTTACAGTTAATAATTTTATATCAGTCTTATCTTCACTCCCTGGAATAACTTTCCTTGGAGTTGTGGTTTGAACAGAACATTGTGTCAGATAGAATTCTTGTATAAGCCACTTGAGTACTGAAGTCTCACTGTATCAGGAATCTTACCTTTACTATCCTAAAGAGAAGTACTCCCAGAGTCAGTCAGTCTTCAGTTTTTGTCCATGTCTGTTGCAGTCAGAGGCGAGATGGCTGCACGAGTAGACATGCCCATGCCAGGTTTAATCCATCCAGGTTCAATACCGGTAGCAGTGACACTGCAGCGTAGTAGAATTCAGCATAGGCTGTGAAGGCCTTCCTGGATACATGCTTGGCAGGTGACCCATACTGCAATTTTGCTGCTGTTGGTATCCAGCTTATACACCACAGTAACACTTCTGCAATACTGACCTAGCCTTTTGTTCCCCACATAAGAGAATAGCTCTCTCCTTGGTCAAGAGGTTGTCCCTCACTAGGTGTAGCTATCACACTTAAATATCCTTTCACTAAAATAAGTGTTTTTGCTTTGAAATAGGTATTTGTGGCATGTTCCATTAACATATATTACCAGTAAATCTGACACCGTTCAAAGATTTTTGCTGACAACTAAAACAGGTAATTTCTTTCCATCAGAGAGATCATCTTCAGAACTTGCAAATTTTAGACATTGTATCTCTACAGTTTTATTTATGGGAGTGGAATGGAACAGACAGTACAAGATATTTGCCCCTTTCTGTCATCCCAGATCTAATTTCAATATTTTTTTAAAGGATGATGGAAGAACATTAGGTCTTGTCCAGATGAAATTTAAAACTCTCTGAAAAATGGAGATATTGCACTGGAAATGTTGATAGTTCTATTATGACATATATATTTTTATGTATTCAGAAATGACAGTGCTTCTTTCTTAAAATCACTGAAAAATAAACTAGGACCAATATTAACTATTGTGATAGGACATTTTGTCAAAATTCAGTGTATGAAATGGACTGTAAATGCTGAACTCTTCAGGCTTTGCATTATTATCTTATTACTCGAATCAGTAAGAGAAAATTGCATTCTAATTTATTTTGTTTATAGATGTCCTCATCCTCCCTGAAGAAGTGGAATGGATAAAATTCAATGTGGGGATGAATGGATATTACATTATGCACTATGAAGATGATGGATGGGATAATCTGATTAGCCTTTTAAAAGAAAACCACACAGCAATTAGCAGCAATGATAGAGCAAGTCTCATTAACAATGTATTCCAGCTTGTGAGGTAAGGCACTCTAAGCCTGAAAAAGGCAAGCTATACAATTTTTATCACAAGTCACTGAAGAAAAAATATTATTTGCTTAATATATGTTTAATAAATTTTCTTAACAGAATAGGAGGCATATTCTGATCTCACTTACAACAAAGTAAGTCCATTGATTTCTGTGGAGTTATTCCAGTCCACATAAATGAGAACTGAAATTAACCCTGAGAACATAGTGATTGAAACAGTCTGTGATATTACATAAGTCAATGGATGCCAGCAGCATGTGGGTCTTGTCTTTTGAAAATAAGGTTTAGAACAAGGCTTACAACAGAATCCAAGATTGAGAGTCTTAATATAGTGATTCACAGACAGTTAAGTTCACTTCTTACCACCCATCACATCAGCTCATTTTGCCATGGGAGAGCCCTTGGCATCAACTCTTCTGTAGTATCTTCTATAGATACTGAATGCTCTCCTTTTCAGATAAGGTACCTTTGGCACGAAAAGGCTTCAAGAATTTTTTACTCTGAGTCTTTATCCTCTTTTCCAACCTACAGATACTTCCAAAATTGGAATAATTATATGGTTTCTGATTTTACATTACTTTGCTATAACTTACATCTACTAGTAACATCACTGAGCTGTAAAAACTTTCACAGCACAAAACATGCTACAGTGATTTTAGTTAAGTGCAAGAGCTATTCTAGACTGCATCTGTTAGAAATGCTATCAGGGCAAGGTGCTAACATGTAAAGTGCATAAACTCACATTTATTAAGATCTGGATTTTTTTTTTAACCTTTTTCATAGTTACCCTGTTTTCTGGACATAGAGTATGATTATAGCCTATACTATAACCAACCCAGGAGCAGGCAAAGTCTGGCCCGTGGGCCACATTGGGCCCACAGCAGACTTGATTTCCTGGCAGCCCCTGCCCACATCGCTGCAGCTGGTTTCTATGGAGACCCCAGCCGCGATGGGGCTGTTACAGTGTGAGGCCAGGGTTTCTATGGAGACTGGTGCCAGCAGCACTGGCAGGGCGCACGGCTGGGTTGGAAGCTGCTCCAGGGTTGGGGCTGGGATCTTGCAGTGGTGATAGCGTGGTCTGCAGGGGCAGAGCCGCAATCCGCTGCCCACATGCCCTGGGCAGGGGTGTGCCGGCAGCAGATCATGGCTCTGCCCTGGCTCTGGACCACATTGTCACCACCACAAGATCCAAGCCCCAACCCTGCAGCAGCTTCCCACCCACCCACAAGCCCTGCCAGTATTGCTGACGCCAGCTCCACGGAAACCCTAGCCCTGTGTTGTGACGGCCCCACTGCTGCTGGGATCTCTAGAAACCAGCCACAGTGGCGCAGGCAGGGGCTGCTGGGAAATGGAGTCTGGCCACTGGCCAGATCTGCCACTTTGCCCACTCCTGCCATACCCCCATTTATAAACACTCAAAGATATACATATATCTAGCCCTACTTTTGTTTTGAATATAGCCAAGCATGGCCCAACAGACAAGCCAACCTTATTAAACCTGTCCCTGACTTAAGTTGAGGAATGAGGAGTTTCCACTCTGAGTGCATTCCTGTTGGAACAATAAAGCTCAGTAGCACTCCCAGCTCCCCATCCTGGTTTGCAGTAGAGCTAAAAAGCCTCTTCTTTGTGCTCAGTCTAGCACACACACACATACATTTGGGATGGGAGAACATGGAATCTGTATTCCCATTTCTTGTCACTACTGCTGAGTAGGAGGGATAGTATATGGGTGGTGAAATATGCCCTTTCCACCTGCCCCATTCTGCATTGCTTGCCTCAGAATGTGTGGTTCAGTAACCAACGGTGGACAAGGTGCATGGCAGACTTCTTCACTCGGGGTCTCAGTTCCCAAAAACTTTATATTACATAACATTCTGGGCCTCCTTAAAAGTACAGTTCAAGACACAGGGAAAAAAATGAACTGCCACTCGTACAGCAAGAAACCACCAACCATTTCTCCCATGATGCCAGATAGATCTCAGTCATTTTATTAGTAGTTGTAATAGAAGTAGAATCTAGGACCCCAAATCATGAATTAGGTCCCCATTGTACTAATATGCTGCTCAAATATATAGTCCCTGTCCCAGAGAAACAAATATAAAAGAAATGACAGAGGGATACAGACAAATGGGAGAGCATGAAGAGAAAATGATCCAGCTTGCCAAATCATTGGGCTTCTGCCAATTCCTATGCCCATATCAGGTTTAAGCTGCAGGAGCTGTTTTGGGGCTGGGCAGTTGGGTGCTGCACCTGTGTCACCATCCCTTCTTCTTGCCACTCCTCCCCCCACTCGGCTGTGGCATGGGTGCAGCTTCCAGCTGCATCCACCCTCCCTGCAGCACCAAGGTGTGGGGTGGTGAGAAGTGGCCACAGTGTGGACACAGCTTCCAGCTGCCACCCCAGCTCAGTTCCGTGCTGCCTGGAAGCTGCACTTTGGCTGCAGCTGGGGGTGGAGAGAAGTGGAGGTGGTGGCATAGATGGAGCTCCCAGTTGCCGGGTCCTGGCATGGGTGTAGACAGAGCCCCCTGTTGCCAACATGTTGTCAAAGCCCCCTAGTCCATATCAGATTGGAGCTGGGTTCTTCCTGCCCATGGCTTGTAACGTTGTTTGCTACATGTTAAACAAAACAAGCCAAGCTTTTTTAATCTTTTTCAGAGGAAGAGGTCCATTTCTTTAACCATCTTAGAGGTCCTTCTTTGAACCCATTCCAGTTTAAATTAATCTTTTTTAAACTTGGGTGACCCAAGTAATTTAAATGGAGTCTCACCTACGTCTTATACAATATTCCTAGTACCTTATCTCTGTGCATACACCTTAAGATTTCATTGACTTTTTCACAGTTGTATTGCACTGGCAGTTCATGGTCCTCCTACAATCAACTAACACACATAGCTCCCCTCCCCCCTTCCACAGTCGTCTTAAGTCATTTCATCCCTATCTTACAGGTGAGTTCCTGGTTATTGGTCCCTATGTGCTTGACTTCACACTTCATACTGTTAAACATTCATGTAATTTGTAGCACTCCATACGACAAGATTATCTAACTCTTCCTGTATCGGAGATGATGAAAGAATGCATGTTTTGCTCTCTTGATACATAGGCAGAACTGTATCTTAGAGCTGTTAGGTAGACAGTCTGGTAAACTTAAGAGAGCCTGGGCATGCAAACTAGAAAGATATTTGAATAGAGGATGGACAGATCACTGGCAAAGTAAAGCGCAGAAGGGTTATACTCACAGTAATAGGGAAAGGAGGTGGTGTTAGGGAGGTAATTAATGATTCTGTTGTAGCTGTGTTGAGGTGATAGTGATCAACAAGATGTCAGATATAGAGGCAGAGATTTTAATCTGGACAGAAGAAGGACAGGTCTGGGGTAGAGAAGTGGATCTATGAGTCATCTGAGGTGGTAGTTAAATTTGTGTTTTGTAGATGAAGTTGCCCAGAGATAAGGTGTAGGGTCCTATGAAACACCACAAAAAGGGGTAGGAGTAGGGAGTATGAAATGAAGACCATGAAGGATATGTTGAAGGAAAGACTATAGCTGAAAAGGAGAACAATGAAAGGGTCATACTTGAAGAGGAGGAGCATGGTTGACTGTTGCAGATTAAGAGGATGAGAATGGTTTTTAAATTTGGCTGAGAGATCACTGTCGAGACTTTGGCAAGAGCAGGTTCCAGTGAATGCAAAGGGCTGAAGTTGGATCAAAAAGATGCAGTTGATAAACAGTGGCCGCGTCTACACGAGATGCTTACTGCGCAGTAGCTCGTTATTACTGTGCAGTAGTGCTGCCAGGCACAAACCGTGACATGATGCTACTGATCAGTAGTAACAAGCTACTGCACAGTAAGTGTCACTAGACAACCATGTTGGGACACTACTGCGCAGTACTGTAGAATGTTTGTAGAATGGACTTACCCAAGGTGTAGCTTTTTATCTAGCCCTTCTTCTTTCAGCTTATTTCTTTGTTCAAATAAATCTGCAGCTCCTGCTGTAGTGATTGTTAATGGCATGCCTAGCTTAAGTGGCAGGTTGATAACATATAACTTACAAGGAAATGGACATTGGACAGGGTTCAAGAATTTAAGGCTTTTGCATTTCTTACAATAATTGGCAGCTTGTGTAGACAAGCCCAGTGATGCTTAATAGTGTTCGATAAGTTTCAAGACAGATGAGAGAGAGGGTGGAAGTTGGAAAGGCAAGTGGAGTCGAGAGTTGTTTTTGTGTTTTTAAAGATGGAGATACTCTGACTGTTGTGAGAGGTGGAGGAGGAGCAGAGATGGCACAAAGAAGATCAGGAGATGAGAGAGCCCCTGGAGCAAGGTAGGAAGTTAGGTTAGAGGAAGGAGAACTGAGAAACATGCATCTGTGGCTCAGAGCATAATTGTAGGAGAATGGAAGACAATCTCACAAGACGACAAATATCATGTTGTATTTCATCGCTTTTTTTCTTGTAAGGAATTGGAGAAGTGCTGTGCTAAGAAACAAGTAGAGGCAGAAGGAAAGGTGGATCACTGGTGGTGAAGAAGCCATTGGAATTGCAGGCGTGGCATTCAGTTACATTAGAGAAGTTCATCTGTTTAACTAGGAAGATGATAGAACTGAAGAGAGAGTGAGAACAAATTTGTAATGGAGAAAGTCAACTCAGTTTAGGATTTCAACCAGAGATTCTCTCCAGAATAGGAACAGAGGGAGTGGATGCTGGGGGAGTGCCAGATTTGATGTTTGTAGAATGGACTTAGCAATGGAAAGTAAAAATGGAGCTTTTTATCTAGTCCTTTTCTCTTTCAGCTTATTTCTTTGTTCAAATAAATCTGCAGCTCCTGCTGTAATGATTGTTAATGGTATACCTAGCTTAAGTGGCAGGTCAGTAACATTTAACTTACAAGGAGATGGACATTGGACAGGGTTCAAGAATTTATTTAAGCCTTTTCCATTTGTGTTACAATAATTGTAGCATTCTCAAAAGTCAAGCAGAAATTAGGTTATTTAATTTGACTTCAGTCACACATTCTCATTTTCTTTTTAGCATTGGAAAACTGTCGATTTCCAAAGCTCTTGATTTAACTTTGTACTTAAACCACGAATCCCAAATTATGCCTGTATTCCAAGGTATGAATGAGCTGATTCCTATGTATAAGCTCATGGAGAAGAGGGACATGCATGACGTAGAAAACCAGTTAAAGGTAAGCTAAACCACAAATGGTGGCTTGTAGCCTATAAACACACCTTTTACAAAAAAGGTTATTGGAAGTCTAGTTATCAAGTGAAGTCAACTTTTATAAAGGAAGCCAGTCTGCAAGCTTATACAACTGAAGCTAGTGGGGCTAGAGTTGGGGCCCACCCAGACAGGTCTGCTTGCAGGATCAGTTTGTTAAATACATTGACAATGTCACTCCATTATGTTCAAAACTGAAACATCCGAAGAACTGAAGATTGCAGAGGGACAACCCACTCCCCCCTCCCTCCCAGTTTTTAGATAAACAGAATTGAACAGCTAATTAATTAGTTTTAGATAAAATTTAGAAAAATTTGGAGCATGAAATTATTTTCAAAGGGAGATTAACATTTAGAACAAAAATAATTTTAATTTAATTTATTGGTACCAATAGTAATAAAGTTTGACAGAAGAGAAATATCCAGTTGTGTTAACAAACTCTTTATGTACTCATTTCTGTACTCTTTATGTTACTCATTTCTACTCATTTCTGTAGGAGTACATAGTCAACGTATTTAAAAACCTAATTGATAAACAGTCCTGGAATGATGAAGGCTCAGTCTCTGAACGATTGCTTCGTAATTCCCTCCTCCTGTTTGCTTGTGCACGCAAATACCAACCATGTGTGGACAAAGCAGAAGAATATTTTATGAAGTGGAAGGAATCTGATGGAACTTTACGGTCTGTTTTTATAGTAAATTCAATAGAGATGAAAGCAAATTAATGTTTTTACATTCTTATTTCTGTTGAGTGAACTGATCTAGCAATAAAGCATTTTTCAGCATGTGATTTAAATGAGCTGCAGCCCACAAAAGCTTGTGCTATCTGTTTATCTATACTTGGTTAGTTTATAAGGTGTCAATTTACACTGTCTTCTAATAAAGCATTTGCCTAACTTCAGTCCTTTCACTGACCTAAATATTACCTCTCACAGCCTTTCATCACAACTTTATTTATTAAAGGTATTTTGCAAGCAGAAGGAAAGCAGTTTGAAAGCCTTTCCAGACTCTCCCACCCTAAAGCCAGGTCACCTATAATTATAAATATTTTGCATAAAAGCTATCTTTGTTTAAGGTTTTCCCCACCTTTTCGATTAATGCCAGGGCTCCCAATAAACACACTCACACATTACCACTCAGCAGGTGTTCTGGAAAAACCAGGAGACCAGATTGACATTTGAGATCTTTCCAGTTTCAGAAATATACAGAAATAGCAAAACAAGGAAGGGCATGATCCCAGTTTGTAAAATTATCTTAACCAATTTAAGAGGGCCTGTTGGCCAAGCCATGGTGGTGTCACTTCTCCCCATACTTCTCCCTATGACAGCATGGAGAGAACAGCTGAAGCTCTTCACCTCCAAAGACCAGTGAAGTCCCATATCCACAAGCTGGATCCAATGGCTCAGTGAGCTGGATCTGGCCCATGGGCTGTAGGTTGCGAACCCCTGGCCTGAGTCATATTGTTAAAGCATAAGAATGTTACTGAAGTGGAATAAGGACAAGCTCCTATTGTGGCATCCTTTTAAGAACACTTAAGTAGGGGCTGTAAAAGAGAAACTAGTGTGCCTTAGTCTTTGCTATTTTTTTCTTTTTTCTTTTTTTAACCAATTTGAGACTCATAAGGACTCCAAATGTGTCACAGTGCTGTAACAATGTACCAGGTATTTATGTATAGAATAGAAACATGACCCAGAGCATAACTTGAAGTCTAATTTTGTTGCAGTTTACCCAATGATGTTAAGGCAGCAGTGTATGCTGTTGGAGCACAGACAGTTGAAGGTTGGGACTTCCTCTTTAGTAAATACAGGCTGCCTTCATTCAACACTGAGAAAAACAAGATTGAAGTTGCTCTCAGTATTAGCAGAAATAAAGAAAAACTTCAGTGGTGAGTAATTTACTCCTTTTGGAGGGAAGTGTGCAAAATGGGAATACAGAAGTTGAGGCAGAAACTAAAAGTGAAAGTTAAACTGTAATTTTGGGCAGTCACTTTTTTTTAGCTTCTTTAAAAGTCACAGAATTATAAACAATTTTCCAGAGAAAATTGTAAGGGGAAATGGTGCTTTAAGTTATGCTTCTAGAACTAGACATCACGTTGTCCAAGTTCTATTTTACATGTCTAAATGTAGATGTGTAAGAGGCAGACAAGGTTCCTTGGGTGAATTTGATATCTTTTATTAGACCAACCCAAATAGTTGGAGAATAGTTATTAAGCAAGCTTTCAGGTTCAAAAACCCTTCATCAGGCTAAGGAAATTTCAGCAGTTGGTGTGTGCTCTTCCTGGATGGAATGAAAAGTAAAGAAGCCAGGGGCTGGGCTGGGGAGTCAATTGCCAGGCAGATTATAATGTATCAAAAATCCAATATCTAGGTGCAACTGGTGGGTTGCGTGCAGGGTGTAGGGACCCCGGCCCCAGGAAGGGGGCGGTGATGAGGCCCCAGAGGTGGGGCAGTGGGGAGAACCCCCCAGTGAGGATGTGATGAGCCCGCGGAGAGTGATGGGGGTGTGGCGCTGCGGTTGTCCCGGTGGAGAGGGGATAGCAGCGCAGTGAGCCCGAGGGGATAGAATGAGGGGCTACAGACCCAGCCCGAGGAGAGAGTACCCTCGACTGGCCCAAGCTGGGGCCAGGACTTGGAGAGTCAAAAGGGCTGGGGGCCCACCGCGAGGGACGCCCAAGAGCCGGGGGCCTGGGGTCCCAACTGGCCTGGAGGTGGGCCAGGGCTAGGTGCCAAAGGTCCCGGGGGGACCACGCCCGAGAGGGGAAGATGGCTTCGGGGGGGGCAGTGACGTAGAGCCCCAAGCGACGTAGAACCCCATTGTGAGTGGGCAGAGCCCCAGTGTGAGGGGGCAGCGACGAGGAGCCCCAGTGCAGGTGCGGAGCCCCAAGGTGAGGGGGCAGCGACGTAGAACCCCAGTGTGAGCGGGCAGTGACGAGGAGCCCCAGTGCGGGTGCGGAGCCAGTGACAAGGAACCCCAGTATGAGTGGGCAGTGATGATTAAAGGGGGGAGGTGTATGGCAGAGCACAGGGTGTGTCTGCCACTTTAAGGGCCTGGAGCTGGCAGCCTCCAGGTGCCTGATTAGGTCAGCCATTTTGGAGGCAGTGGCTGCCTATTTAAACAGGGCAGTTTGGCTGCAGGAGGCCAGGCAGCAACATCGCCTGGCCGTAGGGCTGCTGTGAATGACCCGGAGGTAAGGGGGAGCTGCAAGGGGATGGTAAGGAGGCTTCTGGTCCTGGGCATGACCTGAAACTGCCCCCTGCCGGGAGCGGGTGGCCTGGTGGGGCTCTCAGTGGCGCGGGAGCCCCCAGGAAATGCCAGGCCAGTTACCACCCCGGTGAAAGGTGGGTCGGTAACCATGAACACCATGATGCCATCTGCGAGGCTTGGGCTGCGGTATTAGGGGAGGTCGGAACTGCAGAGCGCCCCCTAGCATCGGGGCATTACAATGGGTAGCCTCCCACTTAATTGACATCGGATTGAATTAATTATCGTCAAAGGCATGGTGGGTGAGATAGGCGGGCGGTTGCCCAGAGACAGGTGAGCGGGCCACAGAGCTCGGCCCCGAGCAGGCCCCCTGTCACATTATGTTTATTCCCT